CCGGTGTATGCGGCAGGTCCCGTCATTCGAATATTACCTCGTGGTAAGTCCCGGAAGAATGCGGCGGCCCGATAGTCTCCGAGCTCACAGCGACGCCGACGCAGCGCCGTTCGGCTGGGATCACAGAGCCGGATTTATATCGAATCCTCTCCGCGCCGGCTAGAAACGTCGGCGTCGCAGTATTTTCGAATCGTCGCGTTCTGAACGTGTGGGTTTCCACGATGAGGGGATTATAAAGTTACAGCAGTGCGTCCTTTAGGGCTTATGTCGGTTCCGGGGAGAACCGAGTTGGTCGTATCCGCAGCAGCAGCAGATCCATGTGAGCCCTGGGCGTTTCCATTCCATTGTCAGCCTCCGCATCTCTCTTTCTTCGGAGTGAAGATCAGACCACCGGAGTTAGCACAAAGCGAGCCTGTCAACTCTGGTAATCTTCGTCAGAAGATACCCCATCCGCAAACGACCACATGAAGACTCGGATGTGAGAAAGTGCTCGATGGCCGACACCCGAACAGATCAGATTTCGGCCCTCCATTTCTCCCAAGGATAGATGCCCGTCGCTGTGGGCTGTCGATGCGAGCGAGACGATTTGTTCCGCATACACAACACTCCTTTAGCGGTGCTAGATGAACTCCGTCCGATTCCTTGGAAGCGACGAACATTTGGGATGTCGGCACGTCGGATGCCGCCACAGGATGATGCTGTCCCATACACCGATCCGAGAGACTCCAGTCTACTTCGACGAGAGCTGTGGCCCGAGTCAGAGAACATCCGATTGCGAGGATCCGATCGCCGGACCGTGCGATCTCTCAAAATTGGGTGGTCTTACCCCAATAGACCAGCCGTACGATGGCCACTTGTAACATCGGTCTGTCGCCTGCTCATCGACTGCGTGAGAGGCTTTAATGCTCAAGACGAAGCTTCCTGATACAAACTAGAAAAACTTATTTCCGCGAAAGAGGATCGGGACGCCTCGCCGTGTAGAGCTTATAGGTTGCTACGAGCTCCACCGCTTCTGTTTTCAGTTTCGAACAGAGGGGCGGAGCGTCTGCACTCCAACTGGGGTCTGAGACGGGGAAATGGGGTAATTCTGAGGACTAGAAACACGGGTAGCTGCTTTCTTCTTCCGTCTCCTTCCTGACTTCCTCACTTGTGCTGAACTCTGCGACCGTCTTCGATCACAGACCCACGATCGCAAAATCCTGTCGCATGGAGTGGGGGAGGTCCTTGTTTGTAGAGTCGAGAGTCTGAACTTCCGAGTGTGATGACTTTTCTCTTTGAGCGAATTAGGCCATGGCTTACACGGAAAACTTCCATTTCAGGATGCATGCCTGCGGCTACGCCGACGGAAAATGATTAGATCGGACCGCGGAAGGCTCTCAGCATGATATGACCCAACAAACAGCTTTTGTAGGGCGCTCGAGTTCCGGTCTCGCGAAGCTAATTCGAGCTGAACAACGATATGCCGACGGAATGAGCCGCAGATAAAGAAAAACAGAAACTTCTCGGAATCTAAAGAGAGAAAAGAGGCGTGCCATCGCTCCGAGCAAGCTCCGGATCGTCTACATTACATACATCGTTCAGAACTCTACTCGACGGAAATTCTAAACTCTTCACTCGGATCATTTCCATGGCGGGGCTCGCTATACATGCCACTGTTTGAGTTTCTCATTTGATCTAATTTGGAATTATTCTGACATCACACTCTCGGCGGCACAAGGTCCAATACCGGTTACGATCGTGTGGGGAAGAAACCGAAAGTCGTCAGCTGTCGGTTCGCCCTGGGGCGGAAATCGATTTTCGTCATGACGCTCATTTCCTCGGCTCTCGCCAGAAAAAAAAATTACACCCAGATAAATAAATATCGCTTCTAAACTTGGAGTAAATACATGGAAGCCCGACTCCCGGGAGGAGGGAAAAAACAAATCGGTATTTCTCGTGAAGCGTACTGAAAATTTGAAAGAAAAAATTAAAAACTTCCATCAATATTTCAACCGATTCTACATTTCGCATTGCGCGGCCCTCGATCTGGCCGCCGCTGAATCGCTTTCGATCCCTACGAGAGCCTGAAAAACGCTGGCGGCCTTGGATTCTGTCTTCTGAATCATCAGCGGGCAGTCCATTGGTAAACGATGCCGCAGTAGGCAGCTGAGGGCAATATGAGAGCAACGGAATGCGAGCATTGTCTCCGTCGTCATATCCGCAATGTACGCCTGTGGCCATGTGACTCACTCGGTCCTCTGGGAAGAGCTTGCACCGGCAGCGATGCCAGTGCTGGTAGATCGGCTGGTCTTGCATGGAAGGGTTCCATGCATTTATCGCTGCTCTGTTGGGGACGGACTATCAGTGATGGATGCGGCAAGGAAGACTTCCTCGGCCGAATCTCCTCAGAGGCGGCTGTGGTCTCTGTGAAGGACGCGCAATGTTCAATATTCTCGCTAACTCATGAAAAAACGGAAGCTCCCGTCGATGTGATTGGATATTCCGAAGCACAGCTCATCTATGTCCGAAATGGCCGTTGCATTCCGTACGATTTCCCTCTCGGGAGAGCGAGATGCGACATCTGCCTCCCAAGCTCGACGGCTTCCAGGTCGGGAGACTTTGACGGGTTTCTCCCTGATTTTCATATACCTACTGGGTGTCTCTCACCGAAGTTCTTCTGGGCTCTCAAAAACAAACACTAAACAGCTACACCACGGAGAGGGACGATGCCACCGAGTCTGACTGAGGTGATCGCCTACAGATCTCAAACGACCGACTGCATCGTTTTACTCGGTCTGGAACGCGAACCGACCGCTAGGGACATTTGTCTCGCGTAGTGACATTCTGCCAAAAAGTGACTGCGTCTGGAGTTATTTCCCCACTTTCAATTCTACTGCTCCGGGTCGGATGTCCTAATGTTTGCCACTATATTGCCAAGAGAGTCTGAGCAATCCACGGAAGTGATCGCTACCAGTCGAGAAGTCCCGAACGGACGTTGATCCGGGACAAGCTGTTCTCAGCGCGCTTGGATTCGATCGAGAAACTCTAATTCCGAGCGAAGAAAAATTCTAGAGGATGAATTCCGGGAACAACTCATAGGAAAAGTCGACTTCGCCGCACCCCGGAAAATATATGTAGAGCTCTCGAGGTTTTTATTTTTTTTTCCCTCTTCCCCACATTCTTGCCGGAGAATATTAGCACCGCACTCCGTCTATCGATGGGAATGTAGCCGTAGCCCCTCGATGGGAAAGAATCTCAATGGGTCCTATGCGTCCCCGATCGGATCTCCGAAATCTCTTGCCGTTTGCCCACTAGAAGGAGAGACCGAGAGAGAAAATTCCATTTCCCGACTTGAGCGTCGAGAGGAGAATCATCATCATCATCGACGTCGTCATCGCCTCTACCGCCATGATCATCGCCCTCTTTTCTTCCGCTATTTCAGGAATTCTCTGTTGGTGACATCCGAAACAATTATCGGTCCGATCTTGCTTCGCACCCGCAACGGCGCCAGTTGTTTCCTGCGCTCGCTGCGGGCGTTCGCCCATGGCCTTCGCCTTCGGCCCGCCGGCGGCTATGAGAGAATCGAAACTGAAAGGATTCAAACTGTTCGCCCCTCCCGCAGGAACTGGAGTATCACACACGATGACCGCTGACCGGGCCGTCCTCGGAAATGTCCGACGTAAGTGCAGCTGAGAAATATTCCGTGCGGCTCGCTATTCATGTCATTTCCCCGAGATGGGCGATGAGCCTCAGAAATTTCTCTGCTAGCTGGCCTGCAGAGAGGATTTCGGGACTGGCAGCATCGATCGAAGAAGCTCCCCGACACACTCCGGAAAACGCTTGACCTCGACATTTACGGATGAGTCGATGATGTCGATACGGAGGGAGACGTCGGGAGCCTGGAACTCGACTTCCCCACCGGCCTATGATGGTTTCTCCGAACTGATCAGCGCTGAGAGTTATCGAAGCCGTGGACGCTCGAACATTTACCAGAGGCTACGCTGATATACATAAAATGCGCCAAATCGAATTTTCAGTTCCCTTCGCTTTCATCAAGGCAAGAAATTTCCAATGAAATTCCGTGGATTCGATGTTCCGAAACTTGTTCATCATGCGCGTTCGCTATCGCGAGACGAGAATCCAGAGACTCTGATGGAATCCACCGCTCCCCTTCATTGGTTACTCCGAGGGAACTGGTCTATGTAGAGAATCTGATACCTAGAGGAAATGAAGTTATTCGAGACGAAAGTTTCTTGGGAGTGCGAGCGCGCAGACGCCAGCGAGTTGCTCTCGCAGCATTATTCCCCCGATTCAACACAACCACAAACTCCTATTTATTTCTCGAGGAATCTCAATCTACGAGGACTGGGATCCTCGTGGATCGTTCTCCTCATGCCCGAAGTGCGGCGCGGACGACATCCCTTAACGAGAAGTGCTCTCGATACCCACTTTTTGTGCTCTTTCCGCAAGGAATTGCCGAAATGATAAATGTTCCGAAGAATCGCGCTGTCCAGAGAGGCATCGCGGCTAACTATGATGACTGAACGACTAATGGATACTGAGCCCCAACCCTCGCGATAAATAACGATCTCGAACACTCCTAAGGCAGAAGAGACAACACAGATCAGAGTGTGGACCCACCGCCATTTCGCCGCAACGCCACAGTTCCCAGCGAAGAGACGACACCAATGACTTCCACCTTAGATCTAAGGCGGCGTTCTAGGGAGTCATCCGAACGCTAAAGAGAGACACCGAGGGCGGGACGAGTCGAAGAGAGACTTCATCATCGAGTGGTTTTGAGATTCGTCTCCGTCAGAGTTTCGCGCGGACGCCCGCGCCGGGCGTGCGCGCCGTGCGATAACGGTGTCCGATCGGTTTCTGGGGTCCCGTTCGATCACTTACGCATTTCATCCCAGACAGCGCGACGGGGGCAAGTGTCCGCCGGACTGAAAAAGGTCCTGACAACTAGAAAGATCAGCCTGTGATGTATATAAGCGGCCTAATTTCGTCGCAGCGGCTCACAAACGCAAGTTGGACACAGCCACACCAACATGAAGGTAGCTACCACAATCATTGCAGGCTTAGTGTTTGTAACCCCGAAAACTCTTCCGTGTCAACTCCGTCGTATTTGTTGAGTCGCTACTCGGATCGTATCGCGGTGTATGGCGGTCGGGGCAAGACGTCGAGCGAGAAAAATGGCTTGTTGCAGCCGCAGCAGCAGCAGCAGCGGAAAAGTGTTCCAAGAAACGAATCGTAGCCGAGAAAGTCGGGCCGCTATTAGTGACCGTTGTGCAGTTCTGTTCTCTTGTCGAGTTTTGTGCCCTCGTGCAGTGCGTGTTCTTCGTGGAGTGCTCAGTTCCGGCGGTACCCGTCAACCGTGATCATACGGCGCGCCGCCTCCGTAGGAGCTCCATTCGGTTTTCTGGACCAGCCCAATTCCCGGATCTGTCTCCCATGTTTTTCCGAGAGCAAGTCAGCCCGCTCCCTCGCGTCGGACAGAAAGTGCGGTGGTGTTTGCTGACTCAGCTATGGGACGCCGTCGGCCGGGGGAATCTACAAATACTAATGATTGGCGTTTCTAGAGTCGCTTGGTGCTCAGTGAATGGGTCCGAGGACTCGTGGCCTCATTTCCCGCCCACCGAATGTGCCCGACGTCTGCGTTCGGGATTCTGTTTGCATCTTGACCGAGGGTGATTTCGTCGTGGTCGTCTTCTTTTCCGTTGACTCCTTGATGAAGAGTTCCTCCTCGAGTGTTCCTTGCGGGAACGACTGTGCTCAAGCAGCAGCACCAGCGGCGGCGGCTCTGGGGAGGGACGGTCGGAGAAGTGCATCACTACTGTCATTAGTGGTGGCTTAATTTGCCTTTGTCTTCTTCAACCGAAGCCAGCCGTTGTGTCCTGTACGCATGTGGACTTCTCGGTGGAAGCCAGAAATAAGCATCAAGCGAATCTCCACAAAAGCCGGTCGAATGTGAGATTAGCGTCCCTTTTGGTGTTCGGTCCGATCCCGCTACGTGACTGCGGGTCCGGCCAGCAGATCTTTCGTTTGCTGTTTTGTCATTAGAGTCTCCCACAACCGAGGTGGCGGGGAAAACCCATAGAATGGAAGAGAGTTAGAGAGAAAATGTACGAACGTATAGAAGACACGTCGGACTCGACCCTTCCCCGTTGCTCCTGTAGCTACCGCTGCTGTCGACGTCTTCGTCCTTGTCGTCACTTCTGCTGCTTCTGAGTCCACTGTAACAAGCGATCTTTCTGAAGTGGGACGTCGACCAAATTGCCTCAATCTATTAAACGCAGTCAAGACTCGGTGTCGTAGAGGGATCGGCCGATGACACAGGCACGCGACGAATACGACTTTTTCGTTCTCTGTGGATGAGCGAAAATTCGAGAACCGTGTTTAAGGTCACGGTGCTCGTTTGCCGCGCTAAGGTGGATACCTTCCTCAGCGCGGCAGCTTTGGAGGAAACTTTTCTCCTCGACTCGTGGGACCGACAGCGTCAACGAGCGGACGGTTCTCTCCCCGGCGCTTCAACCTCATACCTGGCCCGTGGCTTCCTGCACTCATTCCGTTCTGAGTGGGAGGAAGGATTTTAAAACTAAATTATGTACGGCTTGCCTTTGAGCTGATATGAGAACGCGCGGCCAGCTTACAAAGAAGCTTCATTCCCGGCTTCTGTCCTCTGGAAACGAACTTGGGAAATATTTTCACGAAGCTTCTCTCGTCGTCGACGTCGCTCATTGAAACCCCTGAGTCTGTTAGCCTCGGCTTCGAGGGCCGTCGTCCTAGAGCAGGAATTTTGTGGCAACAAGATTCCGACGCGAGAGAGGCTTTCAAAGCGTCGAGTTTCTCCATAAAAATATGTTGGAATCGTCTCGAGTTATCCTCCAAAGATTTTTTCTCCTAAGCCCGGCTTAATTACTTCGTAAAAACGTTTCCCGAGCGAAAAAAGAAAATCTCTCCCGGCGCGCAGCTTCCGCCTTCGACACATCTCTCGGGGGCTACGCGCTCTCATAATCTCCTCTAAGGCTTTCTGAGGAGCTCGGCTCCCGGGTTCCCGTCTACTCTCAGACGGCTAAGCCAGCAGCTCCTGCGGAAATTCTCAAAACTTCCGGGAAACATCATCATCATCATCGGCATCACGGGTATAAGCTTTTGAGAGGCGGGGAGTTTTGCATTCTAATTGAGGAATCTGCAGATATCGAGAGAATAATGAATTTCTTTGAGGGATAGCGACTGCGGGTTTCGCCTGCGGCGCCCACCTGAGATTCCGAAATGCTCTCTCTCTCTCGCGCTCCATATCCGTGCTTCGCCTGAATCCAAACGTTGTCCTTTTCCTCACTCGTCCCCGGACGATCTCCATGAGGGTCGACTGCCGTCGCCTCAATGAGTTATTCCCTACATCGCTTATCTCGTAGCCCGACGACAAGAAATGAAGTGGCTCTGGTTGTTGCCGCGGGGCGCACCCCGGGGTTCGCGCCGCGTTTTCCGTTCGATTGTTCGCTCCAAATCGAATCCGATAGTCCCGAAGCAGCGGCCTTTGTCAGGGAGTTAGTTCTGTCAGTTGTCAGCATGGCTACATCGATGACTTAATCTCCGCTCAATCGATTCATTCTCTGTTCATGTGGCCGACACCCAGCCGCCCTTCCGTTCGGTCTTCAGCGATCTGCGAACGTCCCGTTAATCTTCGGTGAAAGAGTAAAATAGAAATCGGAATAAGCTCATCAGCGGCAAAAACTCTCGACGGAGCTATTTGCGTCCTATCGGCATTGCTTTCAATATCGAGATGATATTTGTCAGTCCGCCCCACGTCTAGCGGGACTGTGCGAATCTTCGCCGAGTGCTGAGTGGCTTCGTCAATCTGTCGATAAGAATGCTGATGACATTCGGATGCTCGATGGCCGAGAGCTGTCTCCGGCTCTGATCGATTGCCGGGAAGATACCGGTCATGCCGTTCGATCCGATTACTGCCAGTCCTTGGTCAGGAAATAGTACGTGGAGATCGAGTGGCATGGATTCGTAATCGAGAGATCAGAGTTCCGAGCTCGAACGCTCAGGATGTTCGCACGCGGTCTGGAACTTTGTTTTCTCAGTGGTTCGAGAGGGGGAGTCCTGGAGTGGATGGAGATCAGGGCTGAAAGCAAACAACAGGGAGACGGCAGTGAGGGCTGTCCAGCAGGACGTCGTTTCAGATACCAATTAGGACAATGTTGACTTTAGTTGTTGGAGCAGCGGAGCTCTTTTCCAAGCATCTGTCGCCGGTCAGCCGCCCGGAACAGTGAGTCGACTGGCAGTGGAGTTCCAGCAGTACTTTGGAACAGTTTGTTCAAAAAATGGTAGCCCTGTGAAGGAGTAGGTACTTCATTTGTGATTTCGAGGTTCATTCAGAAACAATATATTCTCCCGTGTCGGAACGCTCGACCCGCTTCCTGCACGGTGAATGTCGGATCCCGACTGTGCGGGGACCTCGTTAAGTGTATGCAGAAGCGATCCTCGGAGAAAGGTTCTCTGTCGTCTCGTTTTTTTTTCTGAGCGAGCGTCTTCGTCGCCACGATGCGGTTCTCGAGTAGCCCGCTCAAGTTTCGCGCACTTTGATTGGGTCTCATCACCGAGCTCTTCGATGAGTAAACTCGTTAAGTTGGTTGCCGCGCGATGCTGGAAGGCTCGGAGATGGAAAGCGCACAAAGTGTCTCTCACTAAAAAGGATGATGTTTTCGTTAGTGATTCCTTCAGCTCCAGCGTCTTCCAGAATAACTCCTTAGCGAATCGAGGAAATTCCTCTTAGAGTCCCAGCTGGATTGGGCTTTACGTAAGCATCTTATTGGCTTATTTGCCCGTTCACCGTTCTGTCGGTCGGTCGGTCGGTCGACTGGTGGATTCATTGCTCGGCTGAATGCCTATTCGTCGCGTTGTTGTTGCTTCTGCTTATGCACCGCGTTCATCCGAGGCACGCGGCGGATAGCTGGCGGGGAGTATTCTTCTCCTTCTGCCAGCTTACGATCTCGAGCGTTTCTAAATCCAGCGCCGTTTCCTCTGTCCCCCATTCACGCGTCACTAGCGAGCATGCTGCAAGAATATACTCGCAGGCGTAACTGGAGTGCCTTCGTTCACCCCTCTTGAGCTTGGTCGATGCATCGAGATCCGTTCTTCTGTCGCCATGGTCGCCTGCGCTCCGGCCGGAGCGCGCCGCACAAAACGAGAGAAGGAACGAGTTTTTCCCGAGTCCGGATCTTGCTCCAGAGCCTGATGTTCGAAAATACGAACAATGAATTACGGTTCATCCATCCGTAGCGGAGCTCTGTCCGGGGGCGTGTAGTGCCTTTATTTCTGGGTCACTACCGTTGTCGCCGTCGAGTAAACGACCCGGCGCAGAAACGCTTTCTGAGTCACCGAGTGATTCCTAAGACTTCCTATTCTCAGTCAGTCAATCGCCTCCCCAGCAGAATACAGCTAGACAACCTTCGCGCACCGAGCAGCCTATACGTCCAGTTCCGATTTATTTCGCCAATTGTAATTGCCGTAGGCTCCATCAATCAACTTCCTCCTCGTTCGGCGTTAAGCTTTCAATAACGAAAGTCTCTTGTAATGAAAATTTCTCTCGCTCGCTCGCTCGGCCGCCCGACGGAAGCCAGTCTTTGCACCATACTATGAAGTCGTTCCGTGCGCTAGTACGCCGAATACCTCTGCATGATCCACAGAGTGAGTCATTCATTCATTCACTCACTCACGCACTGCCGGTCAAAAGGCACTCCGTTTTGCTTAGCTGTTCTGTCGGGCTCGTTAATCAAATCCAACCTTGCCCCGGGCACGGCTCGGAGCTGTGATCAAAACAAAAATTCGACAGTGTACAGAAACGCTGTCAGATACTGCCGCAGGCTGTGACCTTATTCCATGAATCGAAGCTCGGCGACGCTGTCGATCGGGGCTTGAGCCACTTCGGCCGCCATTGTGGGCAAATACGGCGGCTGAAGCAGAGACGACGATCGCGACAAACAACAACGTCAACAACAATGAGCCCTTGCAGAAATCATTGTCTTTATCGAATTACATTTTGACGGATTGCCGACCCCGCTGCGTTGCACAGTACCGCTGCTGTGTCCATCGGTCCTCAATGGCTAGCTCGTGAACAATGCGCGGCCAATATTTTTCTGCTTCCTGCATACCCTCATAGCTTGCTACAGCTCCCCATAAATCAATAGCTGATCGCTTCTTGGAATGACCTGGGTTTGGTCCCAGATGCCCTGCTTGTCTTCTCGAGCGGTGGCAAGCTCTTAGGCCATCGATTTATATACCATGATCCTGAGACAGATCCAACGTTCAGTTCGTTTCGGCAGCGAAGTAGGAGCAGTTCCATGGAATCCGCGCGAGCTCCGATTTCAGCTTTCGGATTCGCACCCCTCGTACCGTGAATGGGCCCCGACGAGCGGAAATCGATCCCATCAACGCCGAATCGGATTAGGTGACGCGCCGCAGGAATTCAAGCCAGAGACAATCTTTTCGCGAATTATTCAGCCTAAATAGCGACTGAGCCTCGGGGGATCGATATGAACAGACTTCTTCGTCGAGACAGAAATCCCGTGGGTGATCGCTGAAATTCATCTCCCCCATCGCGCATCGCCGCTTCTTGAGCTCGGAACGACTACTCAGGTTAGCGGCTGACGAAATTCGCGTGGGCGGATGGTACCGGAGTGACTCGGCATGGGTGGCATCGGCAGCGCGCTGAGGTTTAAATTGAGCAGAGCGCCCGAATATCGGTCAGATCTCGGTGGAAATTCCTCGCGAGGCGAACCTCTGCTCGATCGCATGTCCATAGAGATAACGAAACTTACTGACCAAGTTACACAGGAGCAATTGAGCGGATTCGACGAGCTACTCGTTGTCCCGAGTCCACGGAAGAACGTTTTCGGCTCGACATTTCGCGGTCCGTTGGAATGAAGTTTCCCATGGGAGCGACCGGAGGGCTTAAATTGCTATTTGTCAGCAACGGAGTTCCAAACCTCAGGTAGAAGCCTGGGAGGTTCCTCCGCGGTCGGAAGATAATTAGGTATGTCTTCCGCGCCGAATCGTAGCACGAACCCGCTCGGAGATTCGCAGGTTTCCGTCCATGGGAGGGCTTGGCCGAGCGGCGGTAGAATCAGCATTCGTTCCATCATTTTCGCAACCGGAGACTTCCAACGCGGAGGGATTTTCAACTCGTCAGCTACTCTCATCGAGCGGGCGACTTCCTACTAAGCGCTGCATGAAAACTGCGAGAAGACACTCGACGAAGGTTGGCGCTCCAAAGAACAAAGGACTAATTAATTTCACCAGATTAGCTCGACGGGAAACGGGGATCACCATGCGTCTAAGGACCTTTTTCCCGTTCTCTTTCCCGGCCGCTCTCCTTACCCTCGCAGTGGAGCCGTCCTGGCGAGCTGCTCGGAGGCGGTAGCGATGCTCGAACGAGCGACGGCAAGACCACAAACTCTGATGATAAAGCGGCTGGACGACGATGACCAGGTTCCTGCAGGAACGTCGGTGATGTCCCCTCCACTCTCGCCGCCGCCGTACGCTTACGGCGTGGCCGGGGCAGAAATCACGACCAAAAAATGGTTCCTGCTTTTTTCCGTAGAGTATGATAATACGTTTCCAAGAAAGCGGGCAGGGGTCAGAGTCTGTTCTCACCACACTTAGCCGGGAATATACCTTCCGACTACCGGAAGTTGTGCTGGCTGCTCCTTATTCTTCTTTTGGGGCGAGGCGGTCCCACGATACCGTGTGACGAATCGTTCCTTCTGTCCGTGAATCATTGCGGTCCCCATGATTCGTCCGCCACTCGATTCCCCCGTCGTGATTTCTATTCGATTCCCCCCGTCCTGTTTCCTCCCGACTTCCTAATTTTCTCAATATCTCTCCTGATCCCCCCTCCGGCTCATGAATATTTCGAGCATTCCATCGATTCGCATGCTCATTTATGTAGATGAAATAGCTCGCGCGAGGAATCCCGTCAAAGCTTACGTCATGGCTCCCGTCACACCGTAGATATAGCGGAGACATAGCGTGGAAAAAGCGTCGGAACGTCAACATGTATCACGAGGCTCCGTGTTTTCTGGCATGGTGACGTGCGCGGTACCCTCGGTTGTGATTTCGGCCACATGTTCCGTGCCATTGTCGGCGAATCTCGCTCCCTCCGTGCTCGTTCGTTCGCTTGCGCGTCCGCCGGTCCGTTGATTCGCCCGTTCCTGAGCTCGACTCGCACCGGAACACGTCAGATGAACATTTTTCATCGATACTCGTTGCCAGTCAAGAACAAGCATTCGCAGCCCGGTGCGCCATGGATTCGTAGATTTCGGCGAGTGGTGTCTCCGGGGATTGGATGGCAAACTTATAACTATGCTTCGTCTACTTGTTGGGACACCCAACCTATATTTATTTCGAACGGGCAGGGCGGGTGTTCTCCGAGCTTCATTAGATGAAAGAAAGTCGATATCCTCCAACTCCTCTTGGAATCAAGTGCTGTGAGTTTCTGTCCTCTTCTGCTCCTGCTGTTCAGACTCCTCCGCGTAACTCAATAACTTCGTCTCGGATTCTCCACGAAGTTCGTTGTTGGAGTTTGTTCGATTCCCTTCTCGGTACCTGCTCGACGACAAGTAAATCCGGTTAGAGGACTGCCTGAATTTTTCTGTTTTCCCGGGAGAAATCTCGAATTAGAGAGTCGACAAAAACAACCTGCAGCCGAGAAGGCATGAAAGAAATAGAGGTCAGCTCGAGAGATTCCCGTGAGCACCGCACTAGATGGATTTTGGGACTATCAGAGTCTCCGAGTCGTGGTCGCTGTAAGAGGCTTAGACATGAAGTTCAATTTTTCACTTGGAAAGGCCTCAGAAAAAGCCACAGAGCAAACCTCAGTCAACAACTTCTCCCTCGGGGAAAGCAGCGCGTCGGATGGAGTAGGGCCCGATGCGACGACCGAAACGGCGCCCAAGGAAATCTTCAAAGAGCCTTCTTTGTACCACTTGGTCACTGCGAAGCCTGTCCGGTCCCCTTGCTCGGGAGCTCTCTGGTCGTTTGCCTCGATGAGGAGAATCCGAGAAATCTTTGTTCGTCCATATCGGGGCATTCCCCATGGTCCAGATGATTGCATGAGCATATCAACCATGAACTCAGGTTTCTGCTTCTCTTTTCCAGGCGTTCATCGTATTGGGTCTCGCGGTCGCTTCGGCGTACGCCCGCTCTGACGACGGTTTCTCGAGCGTCTCGAGGACCGAAGATGTGAGTTCAGGGAAATCCTAGGGGAAAATTAACTGGAGCGCAAAACAAACTAAATTAACTCCATCAGCTGCCACCGCCGCGCCGCTCGCCGTAGCAAGGGCGAAGCAGCAGAGGCCCCGTTGGCTATATCGAGAAGATTTTCCCCTCTGATTGAGCTCGGTCAGCTCTCCGGGAGGAGGTTTCGTCGACTGCAGACTTCGGTCCTTCCCGGAGCGTGAGCAGACGGAACCCCAACCTCCCCGATAAAGGTACTTCGAACCGTTCAGTCGTGCGCTCGGCTGTCCGCTGGTACATCGGATGCATCGGTTTCCCAGACGGTCCGAGGTCTGATTTCAGGAGAAACGATTCCACCCGCCACGAATAATAGGAGAACAAACATCGATGGACGCGGCCGTCTCGAGAGAAGGGAACGTAATTCATTTCGAAACATCGCTCGCAGCTATACCTCATTTCCCTGGACAGTGTCTCCCCGAAGATCTCATCGGCGCCACGGAGCGAATTCGCAGACACGTGCCATTTCTCTCCCGTCGGGATGCGACCGAGATTCATTCCATCCCGAAACGAGAACAGAAACATGAATGCGTTCCGGAGCTACTGACCGGAAACCGATCCGTGGACTGAGGAGCGTCCTCCCCGAACCATTCCTGTGGGAGAATGGGTCTCTCGACGAGCTAGACGCACAGATCGTGTTCGCGGGGGCCGTCGAAGATCCTCTTCGAGTCGGTGTAATTTACGACGGCGACAATCCCCCGCCACTCATCTATGATGAAGTTCATTCGTGGGAGAACGCAACGACAACGAGTGTGCTCCAATTTTCGTATAGCGTTCGTCCGTTTCCTTCAGTTTGCTTTTGAAAAGAATCGCCTTCAAACTCGCAGCGCGCAGTGGCTGTGGCCCTGTGGATGCGCCGCAATGCTCTTCTTTTGTCATGAGCGTTCCCGGACATTTGCTGGGACGGGAGCTGTCCGTCCGTCAGAAAGAGCTGGATAGACTGTTGTGACTTCCGAGAACGGTCCTCACTTCGTTTTGAGCTTCGGCTTGGCCGCGGCTTGTTTTTCCCATTGCCCGTTCCTCGGTCTGCGTCTGTGTCCACCAACTTGTCGGCTAATCTTTCTCGATACTGATCGAATTTTCCATTTTGTTCCATCCCCACAGTCACACGGCAACTACCAATTCAATTACGATATCACCGACTGGGACACGAACCGCAAGCGATGGGAAGTTTCGGATGCTCACAACAACCGCAAGGGTGGATACTCCATCACCGACGTCGACGGAAAAGTTCGTCAACTCGAATACGTTGCCGATAAGGGCGGCTTCCGCGCTGTTATCCGAACCAACGAGCCCGGTGAGTCTCACGATGCCCGGGTCCACCTAATTAATAGGGCTCCGCCGACTACGGTCCCTCTTGCGAAGCCCGATTTTTTCCGCTCAGCGTCATGTTCCTACTCCTCCCCCGACACCGGTCGTCCCGGACCGCGGTGAATTCCGCCCCCCGATTGACCTCGGTGTAGAATCGCTCATTCATATGCGTCCTGTCGTCTCTGACGCTTACTTAGATGTGTCTCACGTTTAGTACCTATTTTAAGCGAGGCGGTCTAGTGTTCTTTCTCGAGGTTTTTTTGGAGCCGCTCGTCTCCAAGCAGCTTACGTGAGGTCTTCAGATTCCCCAAACTACCGGGTTTGTTTCATTACACTAAGCGAGACGCATTAGCGAGCAGTTCGATGAATCATCCAGAGCCGTTGAGCATACATTCAGTTTGCGTGATGTTCTTGCTGCTTGTCGCACGGCTGCCGTGTTCCGAACATAGGCCTTCAGACTGAAGGATGAATGAGGGTCTTCATCGGGACAAAGCAAAGCACGAATGAACTCGCGAGGGGGAAAATTCGCAAACATCGGGAAGGGGGAAAAAGTTCGCCCTTGATTGATGAGCGGATTCAGAAGGTCTTTTGAGTCAGCTGAAGTCCCCTGCGAGTCTGATGATCCCGTGACGGAACAGTGTCCTGTAATCCATTGGAAGCCCGTCAGACGGGGGAGGTCAGGGCAAACCCCTCGAAGGGATCGAGCTCGTCCGGGGAAGCACTCACCGAATTGCCGCATCGGAGCTGTTTGATGGGAACGCTGAAACAGAGCTTAGCGATTCCCCATCCGATCTCCGAATCCGTCGGTCGCTCGTCCTGTCGTGTGAGGACGAATTTCAGAACCAAAGTACCTACTCGGCTCTGGCTGGTCCAGTATGTGCATACACGAGTTCTCGAAGTGAGCTCAGGACAAACATCTGACTGCTCCACCGGAATAGACAGCGACCTGAGTGACGAGCTCCGGATCGCGCACTCGTCCGCTCCTTCTACAAAGGTTATACACGAGCCTCCTAATGGGGAACACAGCGGTAGATGGGAACGGTAGAAGGACATGGGTGCGTGGAACGGAAGGTTTAGAGCCTTTAGAATACGAAATTTTCACGCAGCGGGATACTTCCATTGAGGAAATATTCTCCATCCGCTATATCATCGCGGATCCTGCTGGAGAGAAGGATGGGTGTTCCCTCGTATCGTCCGGGAGAGTCGACGGTCTCGGAGATCGAGAATGAAGAGAATTTCCCGCGAGGATTGCCGGAAGAAAATCCTCTCGTGCCTGTGATCATAATTTCTATGTTCTGTGTGCGTGAGATTATTCCGTCCACGCGAAAATATTCTGCTACTGCAGTCTGCAGTCGATGCCTGGAATCATAGAAGGAGCAAAGAGCTTGTTCGCGGGAGCGAGAATGAGCGATATGCCGAGGACAAGAACTGAGCGGTGTTTCCACAGACGATGTATGAAGGTTATGGAGCGTCGTAAACCAACATCAAGTCAGCGGATTTTCCGCGAATCCTTATCTATCGTGAGATGTGACGTTGGGCCCGAATGTAACGCAACTTCTTCTCTGCCGACAGGAACCGCTCCCGGATACAGTGGAGATGCTCTCTACGTCCGCGAAGGAGTCAAACAAATCATCACAGCTGCGCAACCTGCCCTACAGCTGACCGGACACGTCATCAAGCAAAAAGCAAGTCCGCCACAGATAGACAAGAAATATGATCGATCCCTATTTCGAAAGTGCCGGCAAACGATGCGCGGCTGGAGGTCATCCTGGCAACACGCTTCGCGAGGAGTTACCTCCAACTTCTCGAAGCTATGGCCCGACCGGCAGCTGCGCGCACCATCTGCTCCGGTGTCATGATGCCTTCTCGGATCCGACACACGCGGATCGGCGGACCGCAATCGACTTCCCGTGGATTCTGGAGGCCATGCGTGAGGACTTAGGTACCATGGCCAGGAATTCCTTGCTCTTTCCCCTCTCCCTGAGCGTTTCGAGAATTATTCATTAGGCCCGCAGGGTCTGCTTGTGAGACGCGGAGCTGAATCGGGGAGCAAGTCGAGATTCCCTGAGCCAGCTGATCATCATCATCATCGGCCAAAACGCTTCCTGAGCGGGCTGCTTGCCGCTAGCAACCCAACACCGGTAGATTTCACGAGGTTTGTGACAGCAACGACTTGAGCTGCTCATGCTCCGCTTACAGCGGCCCGACGGGTGCAAACACTGCGCAAGCACCCCCCTACTATGCGTATAGCAACGCACATTTATAGCGTGTACGTCACTTTTATGGGGGCGCTTTCGTCAGTGGCAAACGCAAAGCAGTATTCAGTCCGCTCAGAATGCCGCTGCCTCGTCGTCTCGCTCTCTCTTCCCTGACCAGTTTGTCGTCGAGATCCGGTTGACAAGCACTCGCACCGCCGTTTGAGCGACATACCTCCGTCAAGAGGCGAGCTTTGTGCTCGCGCTATTATCACCCTGTGCTGATAACAGATGGCCACACAGATCCAGGCACTCTAACACTGAGTTCTGGTGCGAGCTGTGCTCCGACAACTCACCCGTACTCAGAGCTTATTGCCGTGCCCGTCGGACGGCGTTCATCGCGGTCATTGAGCTGAGAGCCGAGACGGGTCATTCGGCGTACCGTCTCAGCGGGCGGCCTTATCGGCTTCAGTGAAGTCTCTCCAAAGCCGTCATTGTCGTAAGCGACTAAGATCTTCAATTATTGCTGATTTCGAATCGCGACTAATGCTCTCAAGATCGAACTTTACGGAGGACTCGATTGGAGGTGCTGCTGATTTAGTATGCGAGGAGAAAATCTCCATCAATAAAACACTCGACTCGGTCACGTTTTTGCGGTGGCTTCATAGATATGAGGTGGCTTTCGAAATAGAGATATCCTCGTGAATCCGGTGGCGTCGTCGGTGCTCGAGAGTCCTCGATCGAATTTTTGCTGAGATCATTTTTGCAGAATATCGCTCAAGGCTATATCCCGGCAGCCCCCGTGGCGATCCCCAAGCAAGTTTACTATCAACAGCCCGTTGCTCAGCCTGTAGTTCAGCAGAGGCCCATTTTCTACCAGCAACCCATCGTGGTAAGGAGATTCGCCGAACCTGCTCCGTCACACCCTGTATTCAACAGCCGGTCAAGTGCTTACATTTCGCTTCGATCCCGCAGCAGAAACCCGTGCTTTATCAACAGCCGATCGCGTACCAGCCCAAGCCGGTCGTATATCAACAACCCATCGTTAAGCCCAGCCTCCAGGTCTACCAGAACATGCAGCCATTCGTCCACGTTCAGCAAAGGCCCCTTGTTTATCAACAGCCCATCGTGCAGCAGGTTATCCAACCTAAGCCCATAGTTTACCAACAGCCTATCGTTCAGCCTGTCAGTTATCAGTCTTACCACAACGTCCACCCCGTTGTCGCGGCTCCCCAGCCGAAATACATCGCGGCTCCTGTGAAACCTCTCGTGCAGAAAGTCGCCGTGCAACCAGTGGTTCTCAAGGAGAAAAAAATCATCGTCACGCCTCCTCCAGCCTACAGCGGCCCCCGGAGGAAGATTCAGAAGCTCATCGAAGATCCCGCGCAGTCGTACATCACACCGGAACTTCCCGCTCTGGCCCCTAAGCGAATTCCCGGCTACAACCCCGGACTCGAAGATTTCGAGGACGATGATGACACCACCGTTGCTCCTCCCTTGAGCCGCAGCCGAGTTGCCTACGCTCCCGTTGGGAGATTCCAAGGAATCACCCGCAAATCTGGATCTTTCCCTCCTCTGGCCGGACCCCCCTCCCGACGAGCCAGAGCGTAGACTAAAATCCTCGAAAATTCCTCACACTCCCTGAGGCAGATAAAAAAACAGACTTCAGTAGTTTCGCATGCTAAACCTCCTGAGGAGTTTCGAGCTCTGGGGCGACTCGGAACTCGAGGTGTTGAGTGATGAGGATGCGAGTGGTGTCCAATCGCTCAATGTCAAGCTCTCGGGAGCTGTATATTTATAATTATGGATGGGATATCTCTCTCTACTAACCCTGACTGAACCCTGAATGTGATGTGAAAGAAGGAAGAAGAAAGCAAGGAAACAAGCCTCGTGCGAGTGATAGACACGAGATTCCGTAGACACGAGATTCTTCACCAGATTGCTCCGAGAAAACCATCATCCAGATTATTGTACGCAACTGTGTCAGCCAATAAAGCTCAATCTGGATCCACTACTCGTCTCGTCATCGTTTTATTGAATAGAAGTTGATCCGAACGAGACCATTTCCGCTTGAATGTTCCGAGTGATAGAGTCACTCATCCTCGATAATAATCGGCAGCAACGGAGGTCGGCGGGGGTCCGTGTTCAATTTTTTCGTTCAGCTCCAGTCTCTCAAACACGGAAAGTGCTCCGGGGACGGGAGAGGCACGCCGCGCACGCTATCAGTCGTCTATGGGGATAACATGTGCGCACAAACTCAGATTCGAAATTGTCACGCACATTCGTACTCCATCTTTTTCCGACCAATATCGGAACAGCAGTAGCTGAACAGCTATACTGGCTTTGCAGTCGCGCGCGGAATCGGAGCTCGATGCGTCGTGTTTTCTCATGCGTCAGAGATTACGATCGCACTCGAATACTTCGGGATTGCTCAAGAGCTCCGGTTCCTCGTGCAATAATCGCTTGCTCGTGCCGAGGGATCACTTTGGTCGATCATTCATTCCTCCGAACCAATCGCGAGGGTTCCGCCGCTTCTCGGGGAGATTTGACTCAAAGCTGCGACGTCTACGAACAGGTTCTTAACCTACTGACGATAAGCATTGGGCAGAGGAGGTGCGCGAATCTTCTCAAGCCGCGCCACGGTGTCAAGGATATTCCACGTCTGCATGATACGATGTCTCCAGGGCCCTCCTCTGAGCTTCCCCTAGAGCTCTACCCCTGAGAGCGTCGATCACGTCGCGTCGCTGAGATCTGTTCACGGATTCGAGGCGGTTCGAGAAAAGCTCTGTGACCCGAAGGGAATGACACGAATACCTTGCAGCTGTTCCGTTGGCACGCGACCTGTGCGGCGGTCGGGTTCCCTGTCGAGGCGAATAATTTCTTAGCGGCGACTTCAATATCGTTCAGACCTTTAGTCGATTGCCCAAGCATGTGTACGGCTCTGCCGCGCGATCAGTCACTCGATCCGAGTTGGGAGATGGTTTTTGATTGGTCTCCCGGGGAACAAAAGAGCGCTGTCTGCGAAGCCACGCTGTTCGCATCGGTCTTTGAGTTCCCGCGAAATGGATCTGAGTCCTCGGGGAGTCTGTCGTCGAATGCAGGAGGTCCGGAATCGGAAGAGCAGATCCGAGTACCAAGCCAGAAAAAAGAACGTTCGGCGCTCGTGATGAGAGGCTCGACGTCAACACTCGGGCCTGTGGTGTTCCGAGCAACCCCGCAGGTCTTCCCCAGCGGCCGAATCGATGTGAAGCCCCGCAGTTCCGAAGTCATTCCTGCATATTGCCCATTACTGAACCCTGAGCTCGTCGAGCTTCTGCGAGTCAGTTCAAGAGCCGGAATCCATGGAGAGAAGAATCCCAGATCTTCCGAGATCCGAGGCTCACGGCAAGACGACTGAATCAGTACACAAGGACCTCCCAACGATATGAAACGTCAAAGAGAGTTGCGCAGCCCTCGATCCGGATTGTGCACCATACAGAGATATCAGACGGAATTTCTTTCCCCAGTGAGCCCCAAGGCAGCATCTCCCTCGTCGCGTGCATCAGTGCACTCTTGTGGGTGCTCATCATTGTGAGAGAGGCGAGGCAGATATCCAATAATCCCCGAACTTCGCCGTTGTCTTCGTACCAGGAGTTCGGGTCGACAGAAGGATTACAAGGAAGTTGCGTATGATGCCCTCCTTGATGAGGGCACATGCGAGCACGACAGAACCCTCATAGGACTCATAGTGCCCGCTGAAGGGTGATCATTGATCGATCCGCGTCGAATGCCTCGTCTGTCGGAGGGAAATAGTCGGGAAACTGGTTTGATCGAAACCTCTCGGGCATTTCTGTTTTTCCGCCGTCGGATCGTCAAATCTAATCCGGCGCCGGCCGGCCGCGCCGTCTTGAGGAACGGGGACGACGACGCCTAACGAGTCTGTTGGCGTGACAGAATTGGGAACGCCCGCGCCCGCACACATTTGAGCCTCTCCGTGGCGTGCCGTGTGGATTATTCAATTTTGCAAGAAAAGTCCCCTTCCCCTTCTCGGTCGGCTGCGACTCGGCTCAGAGATAATCATGTACTGTTTTCAACAATCGAATCGGCGGAGTCGAGCGAGTCCGTTGTAAATCGAGTTCAGCGTGAGGCACAGTCTGCCTAGGAAGGCCGGGGCTAGGCGCGAAAAAAGAGGAGCTCATTCCGTACGGGAGAAAAGGAAGGGTGAGGATCTCAGGTGAAAGGTCAAATACATTCGAGTAAAAAGTGTTGCACTCTGCGAGAACAATTTTGGGATCGGCACTGCGTTCCGCTCCATTGGGAAAGCTGCGGGATGACGCGACGGTCAGAAGCATCGGGAATAGATTCTTGCCGACCCCTTCCCAGACGTTCCGAGGAAAGTTTTCCTACCAATTTTTCCAATGGGTATTTCGGTGCTCGTCGATTTCTCTCCTGATCGCTTAATTTCGTCTGGAAAGAACTCAGGCGACCGACTGGATGGTATGATTTCTGTATCTCGAGACTCCTCGAAACCGATACGTGGAAAGCGAGGCGTTGAAGAGCCCCGAACCCCGATTAACAAAAGCATGTAGGCTTCCGGGGTTCGGTCTCAGCAGCATGAAGCTAAACCATAAGCGCATCATTGAGGTATTGACTCCCACGGCGCGGTGTTCAAATTCTCCGCTCTCCGTTTAAGGGTGAGTCCCGACTTCTTGGTCGTGTTCAAGGGAACTCTGTTGCCTATCACGAAAACGGTTCCTCCCTTGAGGTCATCGTTCGATATCTTCGGGGAGGATTCAGCACGGTTGAGGGACGCTCTGGACAAGCCGACTCGCGATTTTTGAATGCTCAGTTGTGCAAATCGAACTTCGAACCGAGGTCTGGTATCGACAGAGGAACGCTCACGCAGAGTTCGACAGCGCCCTCTGGAGCTCCCAGGACGACTCTGAGCCTACCGCGCTCGGATTCAAAGTCAATAACTGACGAGAAGTTCGATTATAATTCTGACGATCTCGCATTATCCGGAGCGTCGGTCGGGCAGATAGCTCGTGCGAGCACCTCCGTAGTTGCAGCATCATTGTTTGTCCCAATGCATCTATCATTATCATCCGCTGGGCAGGGTCGTAGATCCCAAAGAGCGCGGTATCAGCTATTATGGAAACTATGTTTGCACGCAACTGCATGCACACATTGAAGACATCACGCCAAATGTGCTGTATTGTATTTATTAAAAACGCTAACAAATGCCTTCATTAAGCATCGATTCCTCGAGTAGCTTCACGACATCACATCTGCAGAGTTCCGAAACTTCGATCTTTTCCTCATCGATAACACAGACCTCGTAATTGATTCGCGTTTCTCCACAAACTCAAGCGTGTTCAGCACATGATCTCCCCCCCGACGAACAATAACATGATCGATGATTGGTATATGAACCACATGTGTGATGGTAGTACTGTCGGAAGCGGTGATAATATCAACAACAATCCTGAACTCGTACAAGAAAAATAAACCCTCGAAGAATTTACGGATGAATCTCGCGATCGATAATTAGGTATAATCTACGCACTCATGAGGTTATAGACTCTTTCAGCTTAGAGAGATGCGATCGAATAGAGCCCCATTGTGGAGATGCATTCCTCTCAAGCAGACTCTGGAATTATTCGAGTCGAAGGCAACCGACCGCCTAAAGAAACCTCTAATACATCGTAAGCAATGTCGGCTCATGCGATTTCCGGTCTCCACAATTCTTCGTGTAGAGAGCGAAATTCAAGATTCGTTCTCGTCAGGTTGTCTTGTCATGAGCTGCTTCGATTAGAATTAGAAGGTCAATCAATTATCGGCAGAGCGATTGTTCGGACGTCGAACATTCGTCAGACACTTTGAAAGCTATCCAGCTCATTTTGTTTTGCTGGACATCTTTTGAATGTTCTTTAGCTGTTATCTCTTCGGTGGTCAGTTCAGAGCTGATTCCACGAACAATCGAAGCTATTGTCAAAATCGATCAGTGGTCTCGTGCGGTATGTACCTGTCTCTGTCATGAAGATCACTGTCGTTGATCTCGACGGATCACTACTTTGACGACGACGAGCAAGAAATATACATAAAATACACAACGGTATAACCTCAAAGGCCGACCATTGGCCGACAGTCGGCTCGAATAACCGTGAAAGAAGAGTCGTTCTCCTCCAGAGACGGTGATCGTTCCACTCGTGTGAGATGTGATCACATCTTCTTCTTCATATCGCTCCCGAGATTCGGACCCATCGACTACGAAGAATGATCCCGATGGGTTCAGCGATGACCTTCCTTAAATTATTTATGAGTCTTGATCATACAGATCGCACATGATGCGACATTTGGTGGAGGCTCAGCAAAGGTAAGCGGAAGACGATTGACGGATAGTACGTAACATCGGATGTATGAAGAATAATGTGAAGAATCTAGAGTCGAGTTATTCTCATACGAATCCACGGGAGGTATCCGCTCGGGAGAAATTCCTCAATCGTCTTCCATGGGACGCTTAGAGAATCCCCAACGAAATTCGAACATCGAACAACTCGCGGACTCAATCACAGCAATGTTCAAAGAGACAACCATAGCTGTAGGTATAACGAGTCGTACTTTCGGCGGAACTCAACCGGGGGCAGCTAATGATTAGGGAGCGGTGGGACCTCCATCGGAGAGGAAATCCTTCAGAGAAGTAGAATTCGTGATAAGAGTAACCCTATGAACATTTACAATACGATGCCTTTGTCTCTCATCTAGTTTCACGAGGCGATGCAAGTGACCGAGACGTTTCGGAGCCCATTCCCTAGAGTCATCCATAGTTTGAGTAGTGATGGTTGTAAGCAGTACCAGTACGAGTAAAGGTACATTAACTCGGAGTGCCATCGATAGCGATAATAATCTTAGCATTATCAGAACTAAAGGGGTGATGATGGGGGTGACAATCTTTTCGGTAGCCATAATGAAGGTGAAATAGTAGCTGTAATAATGTGATTAGATTCGATATCTGCGGTAGCGTGTCCTTTAATGCGCGTTTGTGTGAACGTTCAAGTTTCAGGAAGAAATGAGCAGAATGGGGGCTTCGATGACAAGACTCGCTCCATGTGTAACTTTCATGATCGGTGTTTGACAGTGAATACTCTTAGAGCTTGAGTGAATTGCGGGGAAGACGAGAGAAATACATTCCTGGGTCAATTGCATTTCGAGAGAAAGACTCAATCCAGACAACACAGATGCAGTCCTTGGAACGAAGGTTTCGATTCTCCACCTCGGCATATCTACGCCAATTTCTGCGCATCATTGGAAAGTGAGGATTGGACCCTTGGTCGCGGCGAATAGGCTTGCCCTCGACGTTCGAATCGAGGAATTCGATGCTAATCCAGCTGCGGAAGGCTGCGTTTGGCCAGAGTGTAGCCTCCGGAGGGAAAGTTTTGCATTGCTCCATCGGAGCATCAAATTTAGTCGATGATGACTCAATCCAGTGTACTAATCGCTTGGTATCTCGTTTCCTGACGCAAGCGGGAGAGAGCCACCGCGAAGCTTCCGTACCTAAAGTCTACTTTGATTGTCCGACCGAGGTCACGATTCGTTCCACGCGACTTACAGCCTCCAACTTTCGGATCTTTGCTGCCTCCATTGGTTCATCTCCGCCTTCTCGAGGCTGGGATTTCGGCGTCAAGGTTCGCAGCGACATGCCTCTCCTGGCGACCGATGGCAATTCTGACGTTCGACCATACCTTTGTAATCAGATTGGGGATCGATGGTTCAGAATGGAAAGATCGACGCGATCAGAGAGATACATACCGAGGGAGAACCCCGCGATCGCTCACATAGAATTGCGACAAGAGAGCAATAGCCGTCGACGAGGTACAACGAGCGCAACCGCACGAAAAAAACAACAGCTCTTTCCCAACAGTTTGGAGGGTAGATGGCGACTTCTACGGAAATCAAGGATGCTTCTGCTGCTCCAGCGAACGCGGGACCATTTGGTCTTTGGGAATGTACACAGATTCGTTCTGAAGAGGGATTTCTCACGCGATGCTCCGAGCTCCGAAGCCTCGAGCCCTCCGAATGCAATCCTCATCATCGTATCCGCATCGGGTACTACTTTCCACCAAACGATTGAGAAGATGATCCACATCAGACAGTCTCGCATCAAAATCATCATAGATCGAACTATCATCAGTGTAAGACTCCACTGAGAAAATTGCTCCTCTACATCGCGGTAAATTCATCCAGGTGTCCAGATGTTTCTCCAGAAGCTTGACTCCTCATCCGACGGACTTCTTCGGAAAATTGAAGAGATATGAGATTTAGTCCGGAGCTTGGCGCTGTCAAACAGCTGAGCGAAATGATCTCGCCGCTGACCGGATTAGTCCAATTACTATTGGCCATGAGCCTCGAGCCATGATACATAACGGTAGGAGGAAATGCATTTCTCTCTGTCTTGTTTCCATTATAGGAGGTGGAGATTTTCGGATAGAGCGTCGGAAGCGAACATGAGTGAAAGAAGAATATTAGTCGGAGGAAGTTCTCCGAGCCAGCCATCCTGACATCTGCTCTCAGGCTTAGTTGCACGCTTCCTCTATGGCACACGAATTCCTAACGCTTATCTATTTGTCTGTGATTGTTTGACTGTATATAGTCTGGATTTCCGCGAGTTCGGTAGCTCGTTGATCTGACTGATCGTATCCGAGCTCACCTATCGCTGCATTGACAATACAAAGGGTTGAGCTGTGGGAACGACCAAAACAACAATGTGTTTCGTCCGATTCTCTCTCTCTCTCATCCGCAACGTAATTACGGACGACGATGGAACTCTCAGTCTACTTCCTACGCACTATAGCTTTGCATGCGTTGATCTTTGGCCAACACTTGCACAAGTTAACTGGGCTATCCTGTCGATTTCGGGAGCCCAGGGTACGGTGGCACGATCTGGCAAGGCTCTCTATCCATTGAGTTGAAGATTCTATGTTGCGGCTGCGTTGGACGCAGACATCCCATATTGTCGGTTTCGTCTACATCATGATTTTCCTGGCAGTGGCGTCAGCTCTACGCAAGTCGGCGAGTGGTTCGTTTTCCTCGTCGACTGTTCTCTCGGAGACATAATCGTAGACACCGTTAGTCTGTCAGTCAATTAGTCAGTCGTTGAGTTTGTTCGTGCGGCTGATGGCGACAGCTGGCTTCTCTCCCAGTCTTTGGAAGAAGTTTTCTCGAGAACGAATGCAGCGAGAAATCGCGATCATACGTCGGTCTCGAAGCGTTTCTCAGGCGATGGGGCCACTGTCGACTCCGTGAGAGGCGCCGTCAAGGAGTTCAGATCGGGCGCGCCCTCAGTTTCGCCCCCACCTGCGCTAGAGCACGACCAGCAATCTGCTTCCAACGACTTGCAAGTCATGCTTGCCTGAAATTCCAAAAAAAAGAATGAGTTCGCTCGCTAGGATTAGTTCAAGGATGGATTAGGTTTGCTCATTTGGTGATAGACTCTCCCTAGCGGAAGCCCGGCCACACTGCTGGCCCGGGGGCAACTTTCGCAACGCTTCGAGGTGGGATGAAGGTCAAACCCCGACCTATTTCAGGTGAGTACGGCCGCCGCTCGACCTCCGCCGTGGAGCAGCCGATGAGGGTTTTCGATAGATATGGCGCGTAATCGCATAAGACTTAATTAGCGGAGGCGGGCCTGAGAGCCGCCCCGAAAGAAGGAAAATTCCAATATTTTGAATAATTGAAGAGCGACCGAGACCGAAGGCGCTCAACTGCTATCACTTATTGTTCGAACGATCTCGTCATCGATCAAAATATAATCGGAGGATTCTCGAAGTTCCGCCTCGACCCCTTGCGGACTCGGGCGAGGTATGAGCGTTCTCATTGCCCTCCGAGAGAGCATTACTTGAAGCATCTTGGTTCTCCGGAACCGAGCCGTGGACTTACTCAAAAATGAATCGGTAAACTGAACTTTTCATCACCAGGTGACCGAACAAAAGACACTGTTATGGATGAAGGTCAATGGTTCAAGCCTAGCGGAGGTCTTCCGAGATCCTATTCAATCATGTGATTCCAAATGCAAATTCTTTTGAAATTCCTACCAGTCGTTGTTGATTGGTGGGCGAAGCCGCTGTAATTATGTTGGGGTTGGTAGAAGTCATGGTGGTAGCGCTCTGCTTGAACTGCATGGAGCCTTTCTGAGAGGATGGTATCTCTTCAACGCCCGCACCGTTGCCCCCAGGCAGATAAGGGCACGACGTTACGTGCGAGAAGTTGTGGGCCCCGTGCATCTCCTCTTGGTCCGTTTCCCGATGATAGAAGTAGTTGAAATTGGACACGATCACAGGAACGGGCAGAGCAATTGTGAGCACTCCCGCAATTGCGCATAGTGAACCCACCACCTAAAATCGGAGCGGAATTCGTTTTCTCGGAGAAGATTCTGGGCTGTTTCGTTGGGACGAGATTGTAAGCTTATTCTTGCGATTTTTCCTCCGGGGAGGAGCCTATGTCTCATTGTCGGTCACTAAAGTTTTTCCGCGCTAATCACTGACGCCTCCGAAATCTGGAAGTCGGTCGTCCATCGTATACCGATTCAGGGAGCTACGTAGATTCGTTTCCATAGGCACTGAACCAGCTGAGTGATACATTATTCACAGCTGACGTGACCAGAATCGCGTTTGAGAGGTGCGCTTGCACACCCTCTCATTCAGAGGACCCGGCATGCATTTTATCGTCTCAACATGATTTCCTGCCACTGTCTGGGTGAACCCGGACGAAAGCAAACATCAAATGATGGTCGGGAAACGAGCTTATGCGTATTAAAATGAGTCAAGCTGCGTAGTAGGATCGATCAACACCATCAGCACGACCGCCAGCACCGAGCGAAAGAGTCAGACAGTAGGCGGTCGAGACATGGAGGAAATATGCTTCTAGTAAACGGTCCGTGATAATAACAATAAACCGTCCGATGTATAAGCGATATAAACATCTAGGAAAGTAAATAAACGCAACAAGCGAGAGGAGCGAGACGATGAAATGTGGCTGGTGCATTAGTCCCCTCATCGATCACATCAACATTCGATATCAGCACGGAATCGCCGCCGACGAGCTAGTGGACTCACCTTGCCCCAGATACCAACGGGTCTCATATCTCCGTAACCCACTGTGGTCATGGTGACCACAGCCCACCAGAACGCGTCTGGAATGCTCTTAAAGTACGACCTTTCGGAGTCAGCTTCTGCGTAGTAAACCGCTGATGAGAATAGTATCACACCTAGAACAACAAACATCCTTAGGTAAGGCCATCCCTACCAATAGGCCATTCATGAGGCCCGACTCTGATGGCGTCGACAGCTACGACAACAATAAGAGCCCCCGCAGCAATTACAACAACGCCGACGTCAGCGGGAGCGGTCACCTTGACAGCTGATCAAAAAGCCAAAACATCGGTTTTATAACCTGACCCATCACGAAACAGAATGAGACAGCACACAGATCTAGAGGGGACTTAAACACCGATCTACTGTCGGCGGAGAAGCTCTCCGGAACGAAGTTACTGAAGCCCGTTCAATGAGTCTGAGAGACGATTCTCCACGGGAATCTGACGCAGATAAGTCGAGGGAACTTTTCGGAGATCTCCAGCTCAAGTAGCTCAGATCTCCCGTGAGAAACCGATGCTCGAATGGAATGCGAAAGGGAGCTCGCGGTACTCACCAATGAATAGGAAAAATATGAGTAGTCCTAACTCTCTCATAGAAGCCTTCAGAGTCCGACCGAGGATTTGAAGTCCTTTGGAGTGCCGTGAAAGTTTGAATATTCGAAACACACGCACGAGGCGGATGACCCTAAGTATAGCTAGGGACATTGCCTGATTCGAGGACTTATCTCCTGGCGGCAGCAATGAGGGGCCTTCCCGTTCACGAGCGATCACCGTACCTGCGGCGTGGAGAAAAGAAAATACGATCAGAGAGAGCTAAAGTATAGGTTATGGGTTTCCGACCCTCCGATGATATGATCGTTCAGCAGGAAAATTCTTGCGACCGCTGAACGTCGATCAACCACCCCTCCCCCCAATAGAACGGGATATAAATCTGCCGTCGAGGACCATCATGAGGGTAATTGATCTTGGGCGCGTTCCAAACCATGAATGATCTTCATCGCCCTCCCGTCGTCGATAATTATCGGATCCCGAGAGACGCTGCTACAGAAGATTGCTCGGCAATGACAATGATGAAGGCGACGGGCGAGTTGATTAGAAGAGTTGCTCGTAATAGCGTCACTGTTGACCTTTCGATCGAAGATTAGGATTGGTGGCGAAATCTGCGAGCGCTCCCGAGATTTCCTCCCCGTTGAGCCTCTCCGAAAGCCGGCGATTACGCCTACGAGTACTTTTCTCGCTAGACCAACTGGGTCAAGTGCAGGAGTGCTTATTTATAGAACATGCGACCAGTAATCTCGTGGAAAGAAACACCGCGCACTCAGCCAGCCCGCCAGCACACCATCCGGACGGCCGCTCGGCAGGGCAACCTCGATGGCCGGTCGACTGGTCTTTCAACTGATGCGACATATGTACGGCTTCGACGGGTTCTCATCGAATCTGCGATTTTTGGAGAGCCACAGCTCTGACTTGCACAGTTTCGACGATGAACATGCGAGAGCGAATCTCGCAGGACGTTTTTCGCTCCGAACCAAGGTACTAACTCGTTCGACCGGCTTCGGCATACCTATGCGTAGTTCAAGGGCTTGCTCGAGCTGTTCTCTTGGGAATGCTCGGGAAGATTTCACATCCTCATGCGGCAGCCCGACGCTCACGGAAATGTACGAATCGGCTCGCTTGGCGCGAAACATGGTCCACCGTATAAGCTGAGGCGAGAAAGCGAGACGATGCCGACGCGACGCCAATAAAAACACTGAAGAGACATTGATGCGCGGACTCTTGCAACAGGTGCCATTCACACGTCGTCGTCGCTAACAGATGGGTTTCACTGAGTTCGAGCATCGTTTACGGTATGTGTACGAGAATGCCGAACAAAACATTGACGGGTGTTTTGTGAATAGCTGCCGACCTCCCGACATTCCTGTAGGGCGGAGAGGGTTGAGCGGCCGCAGGACTGATATGAGCGACGAAGCGGTGCACTCCCTGATCGATACGAATAAGTCCATTCAATGAATACAGGAACAGAATCGAAACGAGATTCAGGGTCTCCGCAAACTGCAACAAGCGGTGTCGGACGCGGCTCATTATCATCTCCTAATTCATCACGCCAGCGCTGGAGAAGACATGTATGAGAAGCTGCTGGCATCGGCGCCAGCGATATTTGCACCTGAACGGGGGAAAAAATAAGGACGCCATCCTTCTGTTCCGCGCTACAGATTCAGAGGGTTCTTGATTTGTGGATGAGGGCTCAGTCACACCGCAGGCGGGTTCGCCACATCTTTTCAGAATGAAGAGGCACCGTATTTTCGATTTCCCCCTCCGGGCATCCAGAGCCGTGGAGCGCGCTCACAATAAATATATCAGTGAGTCGCCGTTTGAGGCAGTCATGGGGTCCGAGACAGGCACCCAACAAGAACGGGGGGTCAGTCGACGGATATTCAACCAGAAAACCTCTCACAATGATGCAGAGCAATTGCTAGTGAGTTGGTCGAGACTCTTCGTCCTGACCCTCGAAGGGGATACATATGTATGTGTAATCAATCCAAGGCCCGAAATGGAAGGTCAAAGGGTACGAGCTCACCTAGTGTGATAAAGTAGGGAATGATGGCGATTAGATCAATGCTGTTCATGACGTCTTTGAAAAATGCGAATTTGCACGGACAGGCTGAGAATCTGACAGCCAGTTCAAATGTAAACCAGACGATACAGCATGTCTCGATGAGAAAGAACGGTTCCGTGAGTTTTGGAACTTCGTCCTCAACTACACGAGTCTTGTTCCCAGCGACGGCGAACATCCGATAGTGCTTGAACACGGGCAGCGTTTCCAGGCAGAAAATCACGATCGATAGCAGGATTACAACCACGGAGATGATGGCCACTACACGTGCGGCTTGTGAGCTTTCCGGGTATTCGAATAACAACCTGAAATGGAAGCAAATCTGTAGTCCTGTTCCTCGGCGTACGGATGCTTCGGGCTGATATGGCCCGTTGCACTTTATTTCCAAATCAAGAGTTCTCCTCGAGATTTGCTCCCCCCGCTTCGGCTCAGACCTAATCCCCAGTCTAGGGGATTTTTCCTCATATTGAGCAATAGATTCGATGCTGTTCTCGAATCTGACCACAGCAAGGGACGGAATGTTTGCTGAGCTGCTAGGATGTCGACTTGTACTCCTCGACCGGAGAGAGATGGGGGCACTCCAAGTGAAGTTTGAACGCGTTTTTCCGAAGGAGAGAGTCTCGGCTCAGCTCGCCGTGGAAGACGGTAATCCCCCATCTTTTCGCTGTGGTCAGGGATTGTACGGTGTCGTCGCTTACGGCTCTGGGACAAGGCGAAGCTCCTCGGAAAACGAAACTCCCATGGAAATCGGATTTGAGCCCTTAGAGCGACGTCGGCATCATCGAGTACGCCACCGAGCCAATACTATGAAGTCTCCTTACTTGAAACCGGATGCCGATTGCTTCATGAGGTATCATGGAATGCGCGAACATGAAGGGAAGCGAGCTTGATGACTCGTCATAAAGGAATCAATCGAGCGGCTTACAACTGTCGTGGGGAGGCGCGCCGGACGACCGTGAGAGGGACGGGTTCCGGTTTTCCATCGGGAAAGTTCATCGAATCCGACGTTTCTGAGCTTCTGGAGAGCAGAAAGCTCGAGCGCCGTGCATTACATAACTCGTCCACACTCTCGACGCCAAATTGAGGGTCTTTGGCGCTTGACTCTTGGGACACGGTACGAACCAAAGCTTCAATTTGAACGGGAGAACTGAACTTGCATCGGAAAGAGAAGTTCACAAAGCCCGCTACTCGTGATCGCCTCGTCGAGAGGAGCATCTCATCCGGGGTAAATTGATCGCACATAGCTCCTCCTCTTCGCAAGAGAAGTCCAGGCTGCAGCTCGCTCGTGCTCGCATGAGGCCGGGTTGATGTCGTATACAATAGAAAGCAGAGTGCCCTTAATCCGCGACCTAGGGAGTTTTGATTTTGACCCGCGAATCACGAGTTATCGGATAATTCGCGGTTTTTTTTCGGATTGGCGGATCGTCCAGCATGGGCTCTACCAGCGAATTGACCCAAATCCTCCTGAAAATCCCCGCGAATCGCGAATTATTAGGATCCGCGAATTGAAGGGGGTGTGAATTAAGGAGAATCCAACATATGTTCACGTAGCCGAGCGCAGATAACATACGATTTCGGAACATGAATGAAACCTTTCGAATCGCTCAGGGGTGTATCACATTGACGAGCAAAAATTCGATCCCGAGCGTTCAGACAACTCCGGGCGTTGTTGCTCGATTCTCTCAATTTGAGAAAATTCCACGCAGCAGAAAGCCCGCCCTGGACCCAGGGTCCAGCCTGGTGTGGGACGCGATCAGCCACAGGGGAAACTTTGGCTCGTTTCGGACTCGTATGAGAGGTTCTCGAGGAACCATACCCTCTTGGAACCCAAGCTCCTCCAATACGTGGACGATTTCCCGGGGGTAAACTTGGTGTCTGGATGAGATAGTGCGAGCATGGATATCAGCCGGTCTCAGGAGCCAATGTTTCAGGGTCTCAAGATCAGAAGATTCGCCGGAGTCGCCTGCGGGTTTTCCTGATTACCGGCCCATTAAGAATCTGAGAAGCCTGACGCCGCGTCGAGTTCATGAGGGGAACCGGCAGTTCCAGACGAAAATTCGTTGAAGCAGTGATAGAGGCGCCATCGATGAGCATAATATCCTGGGCAAACTCTGTCCCGAGCCCATTCGATGAGGCATCCTCACTGAGTTAGTGGAAGCAGCAGTCCTATCTGATATTGATTGCAGCGCTCCTCGTGAATCCTTTCGGCTAAACTCCGTCCGAGAAATTACACGGATATACACACAGAAGTCAACAAGTTGGCTCGAATATACCGACGATGGGATGCTAGAAGTCTTCTTGAACTCACGAGTCAAACTTCTCCCAAACGGTCGGGCGACGGAAGAGCTGCCGTCGCTGCTCCGTGACCCCCGAAAGCCCATCCCACGTGCTCACGGCCCCATACCGGGGAAACCGACATCGAACATGTATTGTGAGACTATACTCAATGTTGCACCAAGGCGAAAATAGGTTCCCCTGGAGCCGCGACCCAGCTCGGAATTTCTTTCCCCCAACGATCGCTTCCCCTGACAACAATCTCGATGTACCGAGCGTTTGAACTCAACACAAGGGTGCATGCAGATAAATAGGTCATCGGCAGAACAACTTACCACATTTTCCTTTGGAATTCGTTGGCAGGAAGCGGCCGCTCTTCCTCCTTGATGAAGCCCTCGTCTTCTCGAAACTTGTTAAAAGCTCCTTCTCCGAGCTCGAAAAATTTGATTTCCTCGGCGAACACGTCCAACGGGACACTCACCGGCCTCCTCAGCCGTCCACCGCTCTGGTAGTAGTATAAAATTGCGTCGAACGAGGGCCGATTGCGGTCGAAGAAATATTCGTTTCGTAGAGGATCGTAGTAGCGAATTCTACGCCGGGCGTCGCCTGTGGCAAACGACACTGTTAGCGTGACAGAACCGGGAACGCCTGGCACCCCGTTAGCCGCTAGTCAGACGAAGCGAATAGCGAACGAATCCCTGTTTTCCTATCTGTGAACCAATGAGCCGCAATCCCGCCGATCTGCATTCCCGCATTCCCGCTTCCCCGAAGCGCTGCGGGATCAAAGAACCCTCAGAGTTTGCCCGCCTCGCGAGCTGTCTGCTCTGTCCTCGATGTTACAAAGCGCTTTTGTGCCGATGGCAAACGACGGCCGTGTCCCTATAAGAGACCGTGCAGGACCGTAATTTTTCAGGAGATAAAACCTCGATGCAAGCTAAGGTGGACGGTCACCGATGCTGTTCCCTCCGGCTGGAGAACTAGCGGACAAGCCGACTCGGTCGGTCGGTCGGTCGACGGCGGGGCAGTCTGGCAATTTCGGCAGTTTGGGTGGATGGGTGGGGATTGCGTGACTAGACGTCCGTCTCTATAAAGAGTAGTTCTTGTAACTCCTCCATTACGGAGTCCCGAGGCCGTTCGGTTCGGGCAATGAAGAGCACCTCGGTCGCCATCACCGCAGCCACCGCCGCCGCCGCAGCCGAAGGAAGTGCCTTTTTTTTCGAGCAAGGATCTTGGAACGTCTCCTGGACACTGAGTCAAACGAGTGAAGTTTGTCGGCTCCGGGTTCCTCCGGGTCACATTCATCGCCGATTTGCTTTTCCATTCCCCTGTGACTAAATGCTACATACCCAAAAGCGTGTCCGGAAATTGTTTCAAAGTCCTCAGCTGAGTTTCGAAGCGGAGCCCCGATACATTGATGGTGACTCTCTCGCAGAGTGAGTGGTCATGTGTAATTGGTTCGAAGTTAGTTTCGGAGGTTCCACCCGGGCCTGCAGCTCCATTTCCGGCGGCTTGTTGGTAGAAGCCCTGGTTCGCTTCTCCAACGTGGACTTGACCGGCGTTTTGATCGCAGCCTTCGTTCGAGCCGACTATCTTGGGCAGCGACCTGTAATAAAACGAGAGATAAAGTTACACACTTGCTCGCCTCCACGCTGTTTGTGCTGCTTGACTCACTCCCAACTGCTTGCTCATTCTAGCGTATTCGCTTGAGTATCCGTGGGGTTCTTCCTTCTTTCCAGTCCCATCAGTCGGGTTGAACAGGCGGTCCTCGCATCACGATGGCTTATCGAAACTCCCTTCGCAACGTACAATTATTAGCACTATATGCTCGGGCCCGCAACGGGTCCCAACAGCGGGAGCAGCCGTTGGAAAGGTCCGGCATCATTGCTCTCATCTTTAATAAGCTCAGCAAACCGGACACTCTCGTAAAAACAGCGTGAAAAAAGCTTAGGTCTACGCTTGATTGCTTCGGCTCGAAGTCGCTTAGGTTTACTCGCTACGAAGGGGAAACGGTGTATAAAGAGCCCGTATATTATATACGTAAGCGTTTTTGGGATTGTTCCACGATAGCACTCGTAGCCATTCGCGGAGACTGTCTGCGAGAGCTCTCAAGATACACGCGGACTCCAGATGGATTCCAATCCACCCGATTGGATTTTTTTTTCTTGATGACGTGATTTTGCCAAGGACGTCAGATGTATTCGAGACTTTGAGCGACTTCTCTGAACGAAAATTCATACCATCCGGAAGCCTATCTAGGAGGAACCTCCCGAATGAGCGGAGCAATTTACCCGCATGGAATCCCTCGAATTCCGGTTCGCCGGGGGGCGGTTTGCGCCTTCCGAGCAAGAGCAATCATCAGAAGTCATCGTGTCGTAGTTCCTCTTTTCAATGACAACCGACCGTGCGTTCAATTAAGGCCGGGAAAATCACACTGCACGCACGTACTTCCTTTTGTGGTCCCATCCGCTCGGTAGATGGTGTGAGGTGTTCTGTCTCTCGGACGCACGCTGCTCCGCCGCCCCGGCCCCTCCCCCACCACCACCGCCGCCTCCGCCACCGCCACCTCCACCTCCCATAGCCGTGCCCACACGAAACATGGCTCCAACCACATAGCAGAACACTTTGAGCAGACAACCAATGCTGGCGATAAGCAGGGTAGACCTCGCAACGGAAGACGCACCGGTAGGCCGAGAGATCGGTCCTGAGACCCGCTATCGACAGGTTGGTCGTTATGGACGTTTGGAGGAACGCGACGGCCGGACCGATAGACAGCAGACGGAAGGGGCGATTGAAGGGAAAGACAGAGACACGTGAGGTTGTTGCGCGGGGCAGACTTTCGCTGTCTGCGATAGCGGTTTCAGAGAGACGAGTCGGACCAGTGAGAAATGCGAGATGATGACGCTGAGGCGTTAATAGCCCCAATGAGATGAACTCGAGAGCCGCGGCGGCTGCGGTGGCGGCGGCAGCGGCAGCAGCAGCGACAGCGATGACGACGAGCAAGCGAGTGCGGGCATCGCAGCTCTTTGTTCAGAGAAGCCACCTCCTTCGCCGACGACGACCGACGACGCTGAAACGCTCACTGCTGCCACTCTGCTCGGAGTCTCCGCTGTTTCTCTTTTCCCCTGTTTCGTTATCGTAAACGGTTTGGCGATTGTTGTTGCCACGTGAAATCGCTGCTCGCGAACGAATGGCCCGAATAAACTATCTCACATATAGTTGGCACAATCACACCATCACAGAAAGGCGAGCGAATCACGGCGCTCTCACTCTATAACTCGCCAGTCTTCACAGCGATCAGGAACATAGCTGTTTTTCGCTTCTTGTTGTTCAACACGATTTGACACAAAACCAACACATGAAAACTCCCGGTCCCGACGAGAACGATCTGCTGATACCCTCGGTACGCTGGTTCAGAGATCCGGAAGCTCGAAAGTCCGCGGTATTTCCGATGCGGCGGACAGGGATCCAGGGGTACCATGGTTACTCGACGAGGAAACCATTTTGAGGAACGATGACCAGATCGACCGATGCCCAGTACCGCGCGGTTGACGACAACAATCGGAACTAGGGCTCTCGAGTGTTCGGAAAAGCACAAATTCAGAGTTTTCACAGAGTCAATTGGAAGAACCTAAACGTCAGAAAGAGCCCGACTATTCCACGAATTCACATTTTCTCGGCATCGCGTGCAATCCGCATTCTCCGCAGCGCGTGCTCGGGCTCAGCACGCGTCATTGCCGAAAGCACGCCGACCGCCAAACTTTCGGAGGAGCTCTTGCACGCCGTTGGACGAGGCGCAGGCGGCTTGTAGGACATCATGAGTGAGCAGAACTTCGATGAGTGCGGGAGGAACGTCGGAGCCCCACTGGGCTCCCGAGATCGAAGTATGTTCTCCGAGGTATTTACACCGCCACCACCTCCACACAGAGACACAGTATGCACGTTGTTAGGCGAGATGGAAAAAAGAATAATAGGTCGCCGGGCCCTTACGCGCTGCTCTAGCCCTGAACAAGTGGTCCTGTCTGTGTGGTGGCGGAACTCTGAGCAAGCCTTCTTTCTGACTAGCTCTGCTCTCGCGCATAGACCCTTCCCTCTGGTCACACTGAATGAGATCTGAGTGAGTTCTCCGACCCGATGCATTTTAGCCGAACAGAGCGATCCAATGCCGGTTCCAATCATCATTATGACTAATGCACTTTTTTTCTTTAGATGTTCCCAACAAGTGATTCCGCTCTGCGGGTCGCACTCAGTGGTGGCCGACAGTGATCTGCACCGAACCTGCGACCTCCCAGCGATCCCGCAGGTCAAGCGAGCTGCTTCTCCGGCATCGATTCCAGGTAGATGAGCTATCGAGCGATAAGAAATGCTATCAAACCGTATCCCGTCGACGTATTATGCTGCTGTCCGGAGTCGATCGACGTCCGAGAGCTCAGCATTCCGAATCCAAGAGGAGGAATCGGGAATAGGCTCTTTGCTCACGAGTATTCGCTACGAGAGCGATTCACGATGCCGCTGCGACACGCTCAACCGAACACCAAGTCTACAACCAATTCAATCTACATCGAGCCGAAGGAGTGCCACCGATAAAACGCCTCTGCCTCATCAGGTTCCTCTCGTTAGCGCCCTTTCGACTTGATCACCTATGGACCCTCCGAGCGCGTACGGTGTGGAGCACGCACGTTTAATTACAACTCGGAGCGACATCGTGCTTGATCGAGTGTTCCCATGTCTAGGCTCGACGCTCTGTGAAGGGAGAACGCGGGAAGTATAAGCTACCAACCTCCTACGAGAAAAGCCTCCGCTGCTCATTCCCTCGGAGGATTTGATCGAAATAAGGGTGAAATGAGGAGCTCCCATGACTCAATATCTCGGAGGTCTCTTCTGTCTGTCAATTACCGGCGGCGCATCATCAGTCCGCTCTAGAGATTTCTAAATCTGCGGGGAAGAAATTCTCAAGATCGTCCCAGATCATGGGCCTCCGAGTGGTAGGAACAGAAGGGAGTTTCTCACGATCCCTCTGCGGTTCATTCCGGAGAGAGGTATACCTGGATCGCGATTCTTTGGAGCTCGCGCCCAATTACTCGACGGGTGTGCTATCAGATCCACTGTCTCACAGAGTACGGGTGCAAGAAATTCTTCGCCAATCTATCCACATTCGGGTCTCGATTCCGCGTGGGATTCAGACCCGCTTTATCTATTTCCGCTGGGTATGCTCCCCTAGAGGGATCACGGACGAGAAAGGAAGACGGATGTGAGCGCCTACCCGAGAAGACGGCGGTCGGAACGCGGGGAATAAGAGGAGGTTTCGAGAAGGAAACTACTGCGCAGGTGAGTAAATACGGGGGATGGCAATCAGATGGAGCACTGACGGCAGAAGGGCCACGGGAAAGTTCGCAAGAGAGACGGAATGCATTCAAGGAGGAAATATGGTCCCGGAGCAGGGTAAGTTTGACCAAAAAGAGGAACGGGTGGTTTCGAGAGAGGATTCACCGATTATTATGAAGGGGAGGCAACTTGGAGGAATCGGATTCGAACGGAAAAAAGTTTGGACGACCTCTTTAGCTCCCAGTTCTCTATTTCGGGAGGGAAGGAATAGATTGATGAGGAGCTTGTTCCCACAGTCTCCCAACGGAATCGAGGGAGCTGCCTAGAGGATAAAGCTGCTCGTTAAGTGGGACGCTGCCGCAGGATAAGCTGTTGGAAGTCACGTACCTATTTCTTTCGACGGTTTTGATGCCCTCTCCGGGTACGAGCACTACGGTGGGGCATTGAAGCTTGCTGTCCTTGGTGGCCGACTGGCTCGAAGCGGCTTGCAGTGATCTTTCGGGAAAGTCTCCGCCGCCGATACCTTTCGAATGTGTCGATCCTCCGAATGCAGAATGAGCTGAGTGTCCTCCCGGAGACGTCGGTTGGCTTTGATTGCTCGGTTTGGTCACAGCGGCAGTCGAAACAACAGCTGAAGCGGATGGAGTCAGAGCCCATTTATCGGCGAATGTTCCGTGGCTAGCGGACGGAGCGGCAGAGGAAACCCTCCGTCGACCGCCCGCACTGTTGCCGACGTTCCAGCTTATCTTGAGACGTTCGGGAAAACTCAATCACGATTAATCTTCTTCGTCAATTCTTTCTGTCATAAGATGAAGATGACGACTTCGGATAGTTCACAGATATTCAGCTTGATGCGAAGGATTCCGGGCAAGCTGTGGGCTGGTCGTGGAAGTGTTGCGTTTTTCTTCCGGATACGCAAAGACGATTTTTTTTCCCGGATTGAGGCTCTCCTGATCGTCTGAAGCTCCGTTTCGAATTCCCTTATTTTATCTCTGCTTGTCGAGCGCTTTAAACGCTCCTTCTTGTTGTTGTCGTGGTCGCTGCTGATGACGTGTTAAGTATTGACGTCTCGATTTCCGGTATTGGAGGAACCGTTTTTGTGATTGACGCTTTCGGTTTCTGTTGTAGGATGTTCTTGATGAGGGCCAAACATCGGGGGTGATTCGCGGTTTATTTCTTATCCAGTTGCCAAGTGGTATCGTGGAGTCTCGATCTCGACTTAAGAAATATTTCCTGCCTCGAAATTGCCTCAAATGTTGGGCTGATGCACAATAGATTACTCCCGAGTTCGCGTCTAGCGGATTCTTCTGCTGTGACACGCTCTGGGGGTATCCTGTCACTATCTGGTCAGTTGTCAGGTTGCGTGACGTCTGTTTTTCACTGCTTTCTGGTCCGAGTCTTTTTTGTCCGGGTGCTTTCCGGTGCTCAAGTCACTTGTATTGGTTTGGCTTCTCACACGGCTATTGCAACAGTGCTCCCGATTGGGTTGGCTAATGAATCGGTAAACCGGGAGAACGCTTTTCAAGCGATCGTCCGGTCAATTGATTTAGGTGCTCTCTGTACTCCCGGTTTGTGAACGGTGGATTGAGGTCTATGTAAGTAGACGGAGTACTTGCAGGTCTTTCATTCGACGGAATCCTAATCGGTGATTTTCGCAGGAGGTACAGCACTACTTCTCGTGTTTTCCGGGGATGTATGAGGTGAAGCGTTTTCTTCGGATGTTGGACGTTCGCACGATGTGTTTCAGTCTGGTTGAGCTATGACTGGCCTAACATTTCTCTCCAAAGGGCGTTTATTCGAGTTCCTGTCGCTGTGATTCGAAACAGGATGCAACGTGACATTAGTAGGGACCGACCATCCACTTCGAGGGTGGCTTTGGCGGGTCGTGTCCTGCTCTTTGTCCGTCGCTCAGCCTAGATGCGAAGAATGTCGCGTCGCGTAATTTCACGAATCAGAGGTCGGAGACACCGAACTGTGTCTCTCCGTGGATTCTAGGGAGGGAATCTGACTCGCTCCGCCGTGGGACTCCCTGAGGAATTATTGTTGTGCAGAAGCTCCTGATTCTCGGAGCTTGGATGTGGGGAAAAATAGAGTGGAGTCAATTAGGAAAGAACGCTTCGACAGCGCAAGATTCGTATTGACGAACGAGCTCCTCCGGTTGGGTGGGTCAATAAAGTTTCGTTTCGCTTCTTCTCTCGCGTTGTTCGGTGATCGTCTCTCGTCTGTTCGCCTCCAACAGACTTTGGGTTTTTCCCGTCAATACTCTGTAATCCTA